AAGTATAACTTTTGCTCCCGAACATTCTTCAATATGTTTTAGAAATAGTGATTGTTACCGTCAATATCTTCCGAATTTAAGAAATAGCAAGTGTGTATGTGTATAATTCTATCCATTTTATTTGAGAAAAATGCAAATAATTATGAAACGATAAAAAATTGTCACTAATCGTTTGATAAATTAAGAATGTATTTTTTACTCAATATTGGATGGAAACTCACATCGAAAAAGTTGACTGAAAAATATAGTGCATAACAGCGAAACGATGGCCGTGTATTTTATTGTTAAGTAATTTTTATATAATTTAATCATTTTTGAAGTTTTGTTAGTTTTATAGAATATTAAAATATATGTTAACGAATTGATGTTATTTTTATGCATCTACGATTACAATTATTCTATGATTTACAGTATTTCTTATGTTTAAATTTGCCTGATTTTTGTAGTATTTCTAATTTGTTCCGCCATTTAATTGTAGAATTTGACTTTACCAATACATACGCGCAAACACGAACAATAGCTAGACTCTTACTTTTAGGGATTCTGAAGAAGTGTCATCGTGTGAGCGCGGCGAAATTAAAAAATATACTTGTACCGTCGTTTACATGCAATGGGTATGATATGACGTATTATTGGCCGAGACAAATTTTCGCAATCAATCAATTTCCAATATAACGCGATGTTACCCACGAAGAATATATCGCGTGCATGAACTTATGCGACGTATCTTTTCGAACGACGCCGTCATGTAACGTCTATTGCATTTGTACGAGTATAGTTTCTCTCTCTCTCTCTCTCTCTCTCTCTCTCCCATAGCATTAAGATATCGCATATGCTCGGTCTAGAGATTGAATTACGATGTTAAATCTATAGCGGGAAATATTTATTTCCATTTTCCGTGAAGAGAAGAGAAGCGGCAAATAACGTTCTTCTCGTGCGCGAATAGCGGCTTTTATTAATGGAACTGTAATAATATTGATATTATATAGAGTGTTCCCGGATTAAATGACCAAACTTCAAATATGAATTTAGGATTTCAAAGCAAAAAAAATTTTCCTGTGAAAGTATACTCGCAAAAACTTCGTTCAAGAGGTATTCTTCTAAAGTTATTGGAACTATGAAATGAATAATGTCGAAATAATTGAAGTTTATCCCTTTTAGTGCTTTACAATAATCAAAATTAAATTATTAAATGTTTTGTTCAAAATGACGGCCTCCAGCCCGGAAACAAGCATTATATTTGTCGATGAAAGAACGCATGGCTGACTGATATTATGTGTCTATAGTTTCTTTGCATGTTTATACTATTCTCCGTTTTAATGATTGAAGGTCATTAACAGGTACTTTATATACTTCTTGCTTCTGAGCACCTCATACGAAAAATCTAATAGTTAAATTCGGTGAAAGTGGAGGCCAAATCACAGATTCAGCATGGCTGATCTATCTTTCAGGAAAATGAATATTAAGTTACTATCGAGGATCTCTATCATAATGAGCAGGACAGCCATCCAATTGAAACCAATAGTTTACTCTCATATTCAAAGGAATGTTTTCTAACAGATTATAAAATTCATTTTTCGAAAATTTTAGAAATCCATTCGCATTCAAATATGCCAGTAGAAAATAGGGTCCAATTAAAATATTTCCCATTACTCCTAACCACACATTAAACTGAAAACTGTGTTGGAAATGTTGTTCATGGATTCCTCGAGAATTCATATATGATCAAACGTGACTATTTCTTTGATCAAGAATACCTTGTCTAATAAATATGGCTTCATCTGTTAACAAAATGTTTCGTGAAAATTGCGGGTCATTATTTGTTCGGTTTAAAAATTAATCGCAAAATGCTCTCCTGCGTGGCATACCAGTCGATAATAAATCCTGGATTTGTTGAATGGTATAGATAACGCCCACCGGCTGAAAGTGTCTTCAATATGACTGTGAGTGAAACTTCTAAGTCAGAACCAGATCTTCGGGTATTTGTTGATGGGTTTTGGTCGAAGTGTTGCAATACAGTGGCTGTTCTTTCATTCTGCAGCGGTGCAAAAATTTTATTAGTCTAGGGCATCATATTAAATGACGCAGTTTCCTTTAGTTGTTGAAATGTTAAAAAGATTACTGACTTATTCGGCAATCTTCTGTTCGGAAATCGCGCGGCATATTCACGGCGAGCAGCGTTAGCATTTCTGTCACAAAACCCGTATAAATATACTATATTAACATATTCACTAATAGAATACATACGAGACATGATTATACTAGTTTATTCTACAGAAGCATTAAACAAACTAACAATTATTTGGTACGAATAGAAGAAACTTTGTTTACAGTGCAAACGAAAGTTTATTAATGACCTTCGATCTTCAAAACAAAAACAAGAGATATTTCGACATTATTTATTATTATAATTTTGTAAAAGTAGTAATAACATTTTTTTAAAGTAGTTTAGAAGTCTTATTATCTCTTGAATGAAATGTTTGTGAGCATATTTCCATAGGAAATTTTGTTTTGTTTTGAGGTCCTAAATTCATATTTCAAGTTTGGCTATTTAATCCAGGAACACCTTATAAATGAATCACGATATCATGAATTTTTATTACTTAATTAGTATAACGAAAGTAGCTGCATTTTTTTTAAGGATATGCTTTGTTTGCACTGAATTGTCCGATTCGACTGTTTTCCAGCGTGAACGTCCGGATAGGAGCGTCGTGACTAAATTCCGAAGTAAAAAAATATTATTTCTGTATGCGCGTCCGGGCGATCAAACATTGGGTAATTATAAATTCAATAGAAGTGACTGCGCACGGCGCTACGCGAATTCGTTGGCTGCTGTCAACACAAATCACGCGGCTCGCATTTTCGATCGATCTTATTAAACTTCTGACAGATTTTATCGCGAACGCGAAATGACACGTTGCACGTGTGATTTATGTTGACCGTTCGTTCGATAATAATATGATTCATTATCTTCTAGTTATTTGAAAAGCGTTTACTACGCGCGCGCATATACTAAAGCGATTTCTCATCGGACAATGGAAACTGTATACATATGGCGTGGAAAATGTGGATTTCCAGGATTTCGTTATCTTCCATTGTTTTTATGAAAAACAGCATATTTTCGTAACGCGATGCACCAATGCGAGAAACATAAACGGTAAAAATAAACAATAATGCCGTTGCAAAAATTCATTTAATGTCAAATTAATTTATTTTTTGCTGTTTACGTGAAAACCGAGAGAGAGAGAAGGAAGGATTGAGAGGAAGGGTAGAAAGGGAGGGAGAGAAAGAGAGAGAGAGAGAGAGAGTGTGAGAGAGAGGGAGGGAGAGAGAGAGAGAGAGAGAAGATTTCGTAATAACAACGGATATAATCACGTTCGAATTAACAAGGATAAAATATTGACGCTATTTTACTAGCAACGATCGGTTGTATTAAAAGGCTACATATACCGAGTGGCTTGAAAAAATGTCCAATGTTTGAATTTCTCTGCTGACCACATTATTATCTTTATGAAGATGTTCTTTTGAAGGAAGGTTAGCAAAGAAATTCAAACATTGGATGTTTTTCGAACCACCCGGGTGGGTATATAGCTCCTTACTTCCAGCGAGTCCGTGCTCCAACTCTCAGTCAAAGGTTAACGCGGAAGAAACTATTCACGTCTTAAATTCCGGCTATGATTTTGGTTCAGCTCCAAATTCACGTTACCTGATATTAAGGCGGTAATATTAACGCGAAATTCGCCATCGCGCTGAACAACAACGACTGCGACGAATCCCGGCGACGAATTTTGCTACGAATTCATGTTCTGCTTATCGTTACGTGCCCCGAAGGCGTATTTCGCGAATAATTACTCGAGCCGCGTTAACACGTTGGCTTACACGGTCGACGAGGGACCAGCTTTCAACGAGATATTCATACAACGTACGATTTTCTAGTGGACAGCCTGTCCGGCGAGAGGCTAGAATTAATCAGGGTAGACAGGAGGCAAATGGGGGCTTATCTTTGCATAGCGAGAAACGAAGTGCCTCCGGCGGTCAGCAAGAGGGTTAATCTCAAAGTAAATTGTAAGTACTTTTGGAAAACGGTTTACAACGCTTACGGTGGTGGCCGTCGCGTACGTAAGCGGAAATTGAAAATTGGAATCCGAGATCGACGAAGATGTTTATCTCTCGTTTAACGTTTATTTTCACGACGGGAGGAGGAGAAAAGACGTTCTCTCTTGCCTCGACGTCACTGCCGAAACCATTGGAAAAATATAGTGCTGTTTTTATTAGCGGCAGAGTAATCGGTGTCAAAAGTTTAAAAATTAACATCGAACGATAATTCGGAACGTACGAACAAATGTACGAATGATGAATGAACGAAAGAACGAACCTGTAGAAATTAATCGTGCTCTAAGTCTGTAGTAGCCCTAATTAAGTATATTCCAAAATAGAGCTGTCTTTGTTGGGCCTAGATATAATCAAGAAAGGCGAATTCTAAATGAAATATCGTGAAAAGGTCCTGAACAGTGAAAAGATCCTGAACATTGACGTGGATACCCTTAACAAGGTTGCTTGTGTTCATAAGACACTAATTGAAAATCTAGTCTAGTTAGCTAATTTCAGAAATAATTTAAAGCAAGGTTTTAAAGAGACTTAAATAAAAGTCATTATCATAAGGACGAAATAAAACCAAATTAATTAATTTTGATTTTGGTTTTTAAATATAACATTTAAGGAGATACTCGGCTTTTGAAATGTCCAAAAAACCGGTTTGTGGATTTTAATGATTTCTTACAGGGCAATTTTTTAGCAATGCTCTGCCGTTTATTGAAGTTAAAAATATTGAAAATTACGATATTGGCAGCTGAAAAACGAAAGAGGCGAAAAACAAAAGATGCTCAATTCTTTGATATATTTCGTAAAACAAAAATTTCACTATATCATCATTTTATATTGCAAATATGTTGAATTTCTTAAAAGATATTTAGTAAATTTTAAATTTTACAAACAAAAGTTTATACTCATTAATATGGAAAATTGTTTTTAAAGATTTTCTTTTTCTGGATTAAAAATTATGCAAATAGCTGTATATTTAAGTGCAGCAATGTTTAATGACGGACATAAGAAATATTTAAACGTCTTAAATGATTTAAATGCCGAATCGGATGAAAAAATAAATATTGTTAATATGTGCGAGAAATTAAACTAATCACGCTGCGCGCAAAACGACGAATGCGAGAATTCTTGTGAAAGAAGATCGATTTCTCTCGTCAACAGATAACGAGAATCTACCTGATACTGCAGAAAGTTCCACATATTATATTATATAATCCTGGACAGTTTAGAATCGGATGATACATTTGATTGAAACGTTGAAAATTTGTTGTGAAATTTTGAATGCATTTTTCTCGGAATTATTTATTTTATCAATTTTATCACAATTTCTCAAAAGTAAAAGGAAATATCGGAACAATTTTTTTATATTTCTAGTTAGATTCTCTATAAACCAAACCTAAGCATTGTCCTAAAAAAATTGTATTTATTTCAGAAAATAAATCAAAAGACGGCAGATGTTAAAACAATATAGTTTTTGGAATATTAGTTTTTCAATAGATGTTATGTTATTTCCCTTATTTCAGAAGTTTGATGGATAAAGAATTTATGCTTGAAAAGAGTACTGCTTGCAGCTTTTCAAAATTTTACGATGAGATTACAAAATCGTAGTAAACCCAAAAGAATCTTTTTTCATCACTGGATATTTCATAATAAACAAGCTTTTCTGCAATTTTATATTTTATTCTTTTATATTTATATCTTATTCTTTTCTTAAAATTATATACAAACTATTACTAAAGTGTA